AGCGGTCCAACGATGACGGACGAATCTGGCATCCCTTTAGTTGGGCCCACTCAAATTGACAGGAACTCAGTCGGGTCCGCAAACGAGAAACCGAGCACTATGAGCCCACGTTAGTCGTGAGTCGCAACTTCTGACAAAGGTGATGTCTTACAGACTTGAAGAGGAGTGAACGCCACAGCTTTTTTAAGGACTTAACGTGGCACCTCCCGCCACGACCTCGGCATTTGACCGGTGGATACCAACGAAGCACGAGTTAACCTAGAGATATCATCAGCTATGCTGTTCAAGGTCCCGGGAATATGATGAGCATTGAGTCGGTAACGGAAGTCGCCGAATTTCCGAACGACGGAAGCAAGGCTCATAGAGCGTGACCTGAAGCTTCTTAGTACTGACACCGTACAAGTGTTGTCAGAGAAGCATCTGATATAAGTCACCCGCGGAGCACATATTGCCCGGATGTACTCGAAGCCGTAATAGACTGCGAGTAGTTCGAGGAAATTACTATCACCGCTGATGAACTTCACTGGTTTCAGCTCGGCAGGAAGTTGATCATCGAGCCGATTCCTGCGCTCATACCAAATCTGCCTCCAAATCTCGGGGTTTTCCTCCATATTTATCGAAAACTATCTTAGATTCCGAGTATCGCATCGTGGAAAGAAGTCCCTATCCAGACCGCATCCAGAGGCATCGGTCACCAATAGATACTCATCCTTGTAGTCAATGTATGGAATACGTTTGTTGTGCCTGTGAGTGAAGGTCTCGGCGGACTTATGTAGCTTTAGGCGCCTGGTTGGTGATATTCTGACGCTCCGAAGAGACGGTCGCTGGCTCAGGACCATCAGTACTTCATAGGGCTTATTCAACTTTACTCGCTCGCTGGTTTACCCTGAACACTCTACCATACTATTGTCGAATGTCTGTTGTCCAATAACATCCATTCATTTAGTTAGTTGGGAGTAGTGGGTAGTGGGGCGAAAGCATGATACGTTGCTACAGAACTAGTGAGATCCGAAAGTCTCAACCTCGAAGTTCTGTCGAAAAATTCTCCGAAACTTGCAACGCTGGATGCTTCGCTCCGCATAAGTAGCAGCGAGATTATGGGATACTCTCATCTGCCACAGAGAGTCAATTCGGTGCTCTCTGGGCCAGAGCCTCTGGCCTATGACCCTCGCTTGACTACTCATGCCTCCCAAACCAACTTAAACCGGATGCGGGCGGGTGGGTTCAGGAAAGTCCCCATTAACTAAATGGTAACTGGATATTAATCGATCCAACACCCCCCAACCACATCACAAACCATTCGCTCGTTTGTTGATCTAGCCCAATAAATTGACCTTCATCCAATTTGGGCCGTATTTCGGGAATCTAACCTGTACACCAGTTTATGCGGCCAACGAGCGTCTCCAACGTTGCTCGCGGTATACATAGCTGATCGGATAGCAACACAGCGATTATCTTATCTCTTTTGGTCACCGGCACGCTGAGTTCGATATCGTTATTCTCCCCGATATCCACCCGATAACCAAGTATCCTCCCATCACTCCTCAAAGCGTGGGTTTTCGTCAGCTCGATAGGTATTCCAAGTGCTGTCACCAGGAGCAGGCTGAATACCGGACAGAACCTCGCCTTGCTTGTGGCCATCGTATAGTCATCCACATATACGATCGCTCGAAATATTGTAGTAACAATCTCCGGGGCGACCATTCGCAATGCACAGTCCAATAGGCGTTTTACACAGCGTAGGCTCGCCTCCCGGAAACGCTCGGGGATGTTACGAGGCCGAAAGGCAGGCAATTGTGCTTGAAGGCTTTGCTGGGATCCCGAGGGTCCAGAGAGCATAGGAATCCGCGTTCGCTCGATTCCACACTAATCAATCTGAACGCTGATACTATGTCCCATTCTAACAACCAAACTTGGCTATCCTCATCTCCAACACTAGTGTTGGTCGCGGGACATTAGCCAATAGATCGTAAACATCCCAGACCTAGGAGACAGCGGGTTGTTTTCAGTCACGGACAGTACGTCTTCGCTTTGCTTTCGAGTAGAGCTCCAGTACGTACGGTAATATTGATACCACTCTCCTGAGTCGTCCAATTGTCGGATGGCTTTGAATTCCTTCCCGTTTTCCACATCACATGAACTTTCGACAACGCCTTGCAGTCTGGACTCGTCGAATTAGTCTCTGATAACCGGCCTAGCCGAAGCTCTTCGCTATGAGCTCTTCGAACAGCCTATACATATCTGGAGGAATGCTGCCCTGCGGCCAGTCGCGTAGCCTCAGCTCCTCGAGTTTTTCGCCAGGCCACCGCACGAAGGACGGCTCATCCTTCTTTGGTTTGCCAAAGTTGTCAGTATCGATTGCTGGCCATTCCGCATTTACTCAAACCGGGATCAAGATGCCAATTGGTGCTCCCTCAGCTACCATCCGGCAGATATTCGCGTCTTCACCGGGCGACTCCGTCGTTGCTCCTTCACCAGGGGCCATACTGAGGCAGAGTTCCTCTAGCAGTCTAGCGCGTAGTCTACGCGGCGTAGAGAGGACGGGGGGGGGGGGGCGGCCAGCTCTCCCAGCTCCGATTTATTGATGTTCTTCGCGACCGAGATGAAAGTGGTCAAGTCCTCAAGGAGATCATTGGCCACACTATTGAGGGAAGCTCCATCATTGGCGTTCCACTCCACACTCATCGCGGATTGCTCTTCCCGAGAGCTGGCGAAGAAATGATCTAAGAAGTCCTTTCGGGCCGCACAGAACCTCTCTGTGTGCTTAATTAGAATCCCAGAAGTACTCTCTATTATTGGCAGCTCAGATTCTCGAAACTCGAACTTGTCCCACTGCCCTGAGTACCCGGAGCCATCTCGAGGCTTTCTCTCCACCGCTGCGGCTGATAATTCCTGGGTCGACGCCTTCCAAGGGTGATCTTCAGGCTTGCTGCCCAACTTTCTGCCCCTATCTCGCTGTTTCTTCGCTTGGGTAGACCTCACGTGTGGCATTTCCCAAAGGAGAGTCTCTTTGTTGAGTGGGAACCAAACTGAACGACAGTCGTTCCGAGAACGACGTTTCCTCCGCTCCATTTATGATGTTATGACCACTAGGAACGGCACTGACGCAACGCAACAGCCACCAGTTTTGACTACGTGATAATCAAA